CCCCGTGTTCTCGGGATTCCCCGCCGGATTGTACTGGCGATGATCGTTGCTCATATTTTGCTGGGATATACTGGTGGGCGGCTCGAAGTCCGGGTGCTCCACGCTCGGGGACGTCAACGGCGACGGTTCCAAGTTGTTCTCCGAGGATATGGCCGTGTTTATCTCCGAGGATAGATCGGAATGAGTGAACGAGAGCGACATCGACTTTGGGCTTTGGCTGTAGTGTTGCAAGTGTACAGGGCTCTGTTTCGCGTTTATACTGTACGGGCTGTCGTTCAAGCTTTGCCCGTAATAACCCGAATCGTTGATCGGTTGGGGATACGGGGCCATATGGGCGAACGTCTTCGGCGGTGAGAAGCAGTTGGGCACCACGCCCCCGTAACCGTCTAGGTGGCCCATCCCAGGGTGCTGATGCTGCTGATGCTGCTGCTGCTGCTCCCTTTCCCTCATCTCCCGCTCCTGTTGCTTCTGCTGTTGATGAATCTTCTTCGGCCGTCCCCGCCGTTTCTTTATCACCTCCCCGTTCGCGTCCAATTTCTCGGGGTCCGGGGGCGGTTGATCCTCCGGATTCTTGATCTTCTTCGGCCTGCCCCTCTTCTTCTTCCCGGGTATCTGGGAATCGTGCTTCATCCCGTTCATCTCGCCGATCCTGCTCTCCCCATCGTTCGTCAACTCCTCGCAGTAAGAGGGCTTCTTATCCTCGATCGCCTCCTGCTCCTTCTTCTTCAACTTCGCGTCGGCGAACACTATGTCCGACTCGTCCAGATGGGAGATGGTGCCGTTTAAGTAATCGCGAAACTTTTTCAGCGCCGCATAATATGGCACCTTGTCCGCCGCTCGCGGAAGCTGCGCGCATCTCGCGCTACTCGATGGCATCACCCACATGTACTGCAATCGAATACGTTCGTTTGGATAATTAGGCGAGACGTTCTCTCTTTCTTTCCTTTTTTTTTTTTTTTTTTTTTTTTTTTTGGAATAAAAATTCGAAATCAATACGCCGTATTCATTATTCCCTTACCGTATTTGTACCCTCGACCAGGTTGGGTTGTCTACCGAATCCGAAATCCTTCTTTCCAGAGAATACCTCGTATATAAGTTTACCGTTAAATACAGCGATTTTCGGCTTGTATTTTCGTAATTTTTCCAACAGGATGTGGCTACCTGTAAAAGAAAGCAGGAACGGGCTTTGAGAAGTTTCATCGTGTGTATACGGTACGTGTATACGTAACGAACGCGTGTATGTGCGCTTATGTACGCGTATTAGAAATATCTTTCAATTTCACTGGATTTTGTGTTTTGATTCGTTGAGTCGCGCGAGAAGTGTCGCCATTCGCGCGGCCGAGAGAATTTTAACGGTTTCGGTTGGTAGCACTGATACCGCGTGCCGCCAGTCTTCTCGCGACGACGATCGCGAAAAGTATCGCGAGTAAAGGTATGAGTTGACTCGAGTATAATCTCGCCAGTGATCCTCGTTGATTTTTTTCCTCCCAGCGCGTTGACGTGACGAAACGAAACGAGTACGATCGTTTTTCATTGGTTAGCTCTTATAAGTGAGAACAGTTTGGTGTTCGTAACCGTCCGATAGATCGTGAATCGAACCTTGTGGTTCGGGAAATTTTTCATCACTGGCAAGTATCCAAAGGTGGTAAGTAAACCAACGTTTATCGAACAAACGTACGTTGTTGCTTGAGTTTTCGTCCATTCGATATAGGTCGATCTTTGTACACTTTCGAATCATTGTTTTATTTCATTCTTCGCGTTACTTCTCGAGGTTAAATGTTTGAATACATTCGTGAAACAATAAAATTGTATTCGTATCAAACAACTCGAGCAACGTGGAAAGATTCTTTAATTTCGAAAACGAAAGGAAATTTTTTTAAGGAAATTTGTTCGGGAAAAATGCTCGGAAAATTCTATTCTTACGAAAAATTATTGTGTATAGCGTTTAACAAGATAATTTGTAACATGTATGGTTATTCTTTCCGGTTGGAATATAAAACAACGTATCGAACAGGTAGAAAATTATTTTAACGAGGCAACGCTTTGCTTTACGAAATTAATCTCTTTCGATTATTTTCGTCAAGTCGCGATACGTACGATAAGCTTCGAAATTATGCTCGATCTATCTCGATTCGAATAACCCAATGAACGTTAAAACGTGTTCGTCTCGGTTTAAAACAGTCTGGTTTTTGTGGCCCATATGTGCACGATCCGTTTAAAATTTTTGCACGCGTAGATATGTATGTATATGCATGTGCGCGCGCGCGCGTGTGTGTGTGTATGCGCGTGTATCTTACATCGAGAAATCCTTCTTTGTTCTTCTTTTGAAATTGAATGTAATCTCGAGTTATTAATTAACCACGTATTTTTCGATTTATATTTTCAATTCCTTCGATTTCAAAGAGAAAAAGAATTATCGATCGAAAGAAAATAATATTTTATCATTTTTTATATATATATTTTTTTATTTTATTTTTTCATATATACGAACAACGACGATATCGTTCTACGTACATATCGCCCACGCGAGATGCCTTTGCGTACGTGTATCATCTCGTATACTGACCTTCTTTGATTTCTTTCCTCGTTAGATCGGCACTGCCTTTGGTGGCGCGAGCCACCATATTCGTGAAACCGATACCGAAGCGTAAGAGCTTGTAGTCATCATCTGCCGTCAATGGTTCGGGTGTCAATCCACTCAAGTGTAAACACTTCCCTGGAAAAGAAGCGGTTCGATCGTGGTGGTCAGAAAAGTCGAGTCTCAATCGATCAATATTTAAGAATTCGCGAAAAGCTCGTCGGCTAACTCTTTCGTTTTAATTAACTTCCAATCGATTTACACAAATTGCAAAAGAGAATTTCTCATGAGTTTGATCAAACATCGTCCGAAAAACGGTGTCTGAAAATGCTCGTGTTTTTCATTACTAGATCGATTCGGGTCGAAATAAGAGAAAACTCGTCTATCTTGGACGGTAGATGGCGCATGGTATACAGTGTTAAATTATTCGCCTTTTGCTTCTCGTCATTACACGCCGTTTATTCATCCGTGGAACGAATTTTACGAAATCGTAGAAAACTCCCGAAAACACCATTTTCTATCTCTTTATCAATTAGCATTAATTAACGTCGCCTTCGAGAAAAAATTGGTTTTCAATCAAATGCGAAATTCGAGGGAAACCCGTAACAAACAACGGTATATATATTCGTCGGTAATAACGACGCAGGCGACGCGGCGACGGTTAATGGAAACACTACCGTTTAACGGATTAAACGGGTCTGGGTCAAGCTTGCCTCGCTCTTTTGTTTTTCTTTCAAAAGTTCAGAGTCATAAGTCACTTTCTTCTTCCGTAAAACGAGGAAGGGAAAATTTGTATTCGATTTCTTCGATCGAATCTAATCGCCACGGTTTATCACGCGGATTGGAATAATTTGGAAAAAGAAAGAAAGAAAGAAAGAAAGAAAGAAAGGAAAGAAAGGAGGACCGGCGCGGCGGGGGAAGGGAGTGGAGGGGAGAAGAATAAGGGGAAGGCGGGGAGCGAAGTCTGATGGCGCGAAATTACAGA